ATAAAGCAGCCACATTGTTTTGCCAGGATGTGGATTTTTTTCCGATAGATTTCTGTCAGGATTTCTCCCTGGTTAGAGCACAGGCCCAGCGTGGAGGGGGCGGTGAGGTCACAGGTGGTGTGATGTCCTTCCTCCACTAACAGCCCCATCTCACATCACCCAGCTGGGCTGGACCAGATTCCCTGACCAGGGATGGCACCAGCCTGGCCATCTCCCTGCCTGAGGGAAGGCTTCCAATGCCCCTGGAAACACCATGGCCTTTGGTGGTTCCTGTGGACAAACCACAAACCCAACCGAGGACAAAGAAATCCATCATCAGCTTCAGATCGAGAATAAATAATACTAATAATATGTAAAGAGCATCAACTGGATGTGGAGAGGAACTGTCACTTCACCATGAAGGATGGTCTTGGATATACAAGAACATAATTCACAACAATATCCTTAAAAAGATAGAAAGAATTTAAATGTATGTGTATGCTTGAGTATTTAATGCACCATGCAGGCATCGTATTTCTTTCATATTTTAAACACAAATCATAGCATCTTCTTTAATGGGCAGAGGTCCTTGGCAATGATGGATTTTTATGGCAAATAGCACTACTGTGCCATGCTTCTTCATTAAAGCCCTGATTCAGCAAAGCAATTAAACATATGCTTAAACTTACATATCTGAGTAATCCCCAAACTTTTGGGTGCTGTGCATGTGCTTAATAGTCTGTAGATCCATAAGGAATTTGCTTGAAGTGGATCATTCACACCAAATATAATAGCTCTTTATATAGAGGATATCTTGCCCAAAAGAACTGGTTAAAACATCAGATGCTTTATTAGCTCTGCATTAGTAATTTTAATTTTCACTGCCTCTTTGATTATGAAGAATGGATGTGTGTGCACACGTGAAGTCAAGACCTGAAAAAATGATGTAGGTAAAAAAAAAATAAAGGGACATTGTGGGTTCAGGACATCTATAATAAACTCAAGCTTCATCAGCATTTCTAAGTTTTTTAACCAAGAAATATTGATTCATGTTTATTATATTTTATGGCACTTTACAACAATTTATAACACTTACATTAAGGAATAGATGGGCCGGGATAAAAGCCAATGTGAGTATGAAAAAGATGAAGTGCTGTCAGGAATAGCAACTTTCAAGTATCAGGTACAGCCCTTGTTTTTGCACTTTATCTCCCCTATTTAATATAGGATGGAATCCTATAATGATTAATTTTAAAATACAAATTCTAGAAAAATACTTGCTGTAGAATGGCCACCTAAAGAATACCTTAGCAACAGTACTGCTTCAATAAAAAGCCATTTGTAAAATATGCTCAAGGTATCTACAGCTAAAGAATATAGCTATAGTAAATATTGTGCTGAACCCGGTTGAAAATTTTCAAGAAATGCTGAGCTTGTGTTCCAAAGTCAAACTAACCACTTATTTTTTTTCCACCTGAGCTGATCATCTTAGAAACCAAGATAAATTAGTTAGAAAACCAGTTTTGTGAACAAAATTCCTTGTTGCTATGTTACCATAGATATTTATACAAAAGAAAATTTCCCACTGTGAGTGAAAATCTGTTCATTGAAATATTCAGAAGTCAGGTAAAACAAAGAAGCAAATAAGAATATATGGAGTCTCCACCAGGTGTTTCCTTCACTCTGTGCAATGGCATAGTCCAGCTGCTCTAGGACCATTCATTTCTGAGCTAAACGGTGAGGATTCCTTTTCTGCCATCCCAGCTCATGGGCATGGTCCAGGTTCCCAGCAGTTCTGGAAGTACTGAAGGATCATGTGAAACTGAACTATGGATTGAGGCTTTGTGATCCTGTCCATGGCACAATGAATTCAAGAATCCCCAAGTTATGGGCAAGACTATAAAAACAGAGGCAGCACATCACTGTCTAATTTTGTCTGCTACTGCTCTTCCATTATTCAGTGGAGAATTCCCTCTCTGTGAGAGAGACACTGTGATAATCCCAAGGTGATTAGGCAGGAAAGAAACGTATCTGCTGTTACAGTTTTGGAACATTAGATTGGTAACTGCAGGTGCTAGAAAATCTTGTAAATGGTGAGAGCACCGATCTGTAGTATATATTGTCCGTCATTTCCCAATGCTGCTGGTTTAATTCTTTAACATTCCTTGATATGCTTTCTCTAGGGACACTGGGTTTTTCCTTTGAGCTTTGCCCATATATTTTTGCTCCTTTTCTGTGGACATCTTGCGTTAATTCTTCACCCTTGCACATCTTTTTGGAGGCTTATAGAAGAAAAGATATGAGTGTTGGGCATTTTCCACTGTGGAAAATGCTAAACAAACTGAAGCCTTATAGGCTTGTTGCCCTGTGGAGAGACCTTATTCTTTATGCATGCAAACATGTAGCAAAATGATAAAGAAATGGTCATGTGATGACATGGCTCATCTGATTCATCAGTTTGAAGGCATATATTCTGGGAGAATGATATATTTTCAGTGTCATCAGGCATGAAACAGCAGTCAACTGATGTTTTAGATTGTTACAGTGGTAGAAAATCAGCTGAACACAACAAATATGAGAAAGGGAAGACATGAAATCAGCCAACAGCCATCTGACACAGCGAGCCATGGGGGCTGTCCTTTGACAGTGCCCTTTGTGTTGCTACGGTGTCCACCTCTCCATTTCCTCACCTTCCTGTGACCCCTCTACTCATCACTGCAATGATTTTATCTGGGGAGGGTATTTCATATCTTCTTCTTAGCTGTGATGATGGCTGGCACCTACTCTTCAGCAGGGTGTGTGAGCAAGCATCCATCACACAATCTATAACAGCACGAAGTGCATCTTAATCAGAGACACCTCACACATTTGACACAATCAATCAGCAGCATACAAATTATAAATTATTTGCCTGAATATATCGCCAAAAGCTGTCATCAGAATTATTATAGCAGTGTAAGTTTGTGTCCTGGTCCTGCAGCCTGATCATCGCACCCAGGAGTCTTGCATCTGTTCACGGGTGTATTATTTTTTCTCAGTCACAGCAGTTCAGTGGTCCACCTACACGGAGCAGAATGTAAGACCGGGGCCCAAATTTATGTACCATCTGCCCTTGGTCATGCATGCCAACTTTTATAAAAATCAATCACTTTGTCCCTCTGAAGAGCTCCCACGTGAAAAATTTCCCCATGTAAGTTTGGAACTCACTATGCTACATTTTTTTTTAATGATATGTTTTTACTGGGATTTTGTGTGTGTGTGTGCACTAATATTCAGTATGACATTATTTTGAGTGGAAGATGGCAACTCAGCCTGAGGCATGACAAAATAGTCAGAAACACACCACCTGCTGTGCCCCATTGCTTTAATATTGTACTGTTTATTAGGAAAATGACCCCAAGTGTTTGGATGACAACTCTAAAATAGACCATAAATTTTCCATACATAAGGAAAAGCTGAAAGCTAAAGTACACTGCCTAATATTGCTATGGTGTAAAAGGGAATAGGAATACATTCAATTTGCCTAAGTATCTAGTAGTGACAGCCACTAACATTTGTTTAGGACAAACACCAAGTGGATGTCTGTTTGTTAATAAATGAAGAAAAAGAAATATGGGTTACTGTGCAAATGGACATTAGAGGAGCGCAGATTTTGGTTTGATGTATAAGACACATAAAGAACCCCGTTCTGGGCACTGCTAAGTGTTTTTGCAAAATGCTGAGCCCCTGCTAATTTCAGTAGGAGTTGAGCAAGCTCAGCACCTGGCAAGGATGGGTCTATCTATATTTAAATACAGAACGAATACTCATCTAAGTGGATTCACTTATGATAAGCTGATGCAGCCTAGAAATTACATGTTTGGTTAAATTGGGGTAATCACAAAGAGGGAGACGCCAAATAGGCAGTGATAATTGGTATAACAATGTCTGTTTCCTCCTTCTGATCTTGTGTCCTCCCTGAGGGCTCTCTCCTAGCCTGCATTAATTAAGAGAAGGCATGTGACATTTCTTACAGCCTTTGACACCGACATGACCTTTCCCTAGGTTCCTCATGAACCCCTGCTGACATCAAACATGCTTTTTACTGTACAGGACCCTTTACCCACCAGACATTCATAAAAAATATTGAATAATATTCCTGAACAATTATTAGGATGCACAGAAAAAAGTTATGCTGTTATGACAAATGGCTGAATAGTTTATAGGGAATAATTTGTTTGACTAACAGGAGCTTTTATTTCAGTGATCCAAGGACTTTTAAAAAAATTTATTCCCCACTTGAAATCATGCATTTGCTTGCTGCAAATAAGTATTGGTCATTAGATTTTTCTCCAGACATTTGTCACAAGTGTGTGGCATTTAAACCTGCTAGACAGAAGGCCCAGGGGCCTGGGTTTTTCTTCCTAAGTGGCTGTTGCAACTCTTTTGAATCCAACTACCAATGAGAACTTTACAGTTCCTTTATGCTTAGATTTTTCCACCAAAAAAAAAAAAATCAAAAAACAACAACAACAAAAAAAAAAAAAAACCCAAAAAAAACCCCCCAAAAACACCAACCAAAAAAAAAATATAGCCAAAAAAAATTTGAAAACATCAGTGTCAGGTCTTGCAAAGCTGTTTCTTAGAACATGCAGGGAAATTAAAACCAGAAAGCAGAGATGTAGTCAAGACAGATGGAACATTTATCTTTTTTCCCAAATACCTACAGAGCAATTTCTGACATATCCACCCCTGTTTGATCAATCGCTCAACACTTTATTACTTTATTATAAACAGCATGGTGTTGCACATTGGGAGAATTGCCCCAAACTTTCAATTCCCACCAAAATTACAAGTGGAAGTTCCATTATTTCACACACACACACAGACACACACAGACACACAGACACACACGCACATACACGCGTGCGCGCACACACACAAAACCAAAAAACCAAAACCAACTAAACAAAAAGGAAAAAAAAAAATCCCACAAAGAACCCAACAGCTGAGGAAAAGCAAGCATGCATGTGGCTGCATACCTAAGTACTCCCTCGGAGTATCTGTGTAGCCAGCAAACACAAGGCACTGGCGTCTGCTGTGGGAACACGAGGCCTTGGCGTGGGCAAGCTGGAAGGGGCCATGTGAGGCCAGAGCTCATGTTGCTGGTGCTGGTGGATCTTTGTGGGACACCTTGGCTCCAGGTTACCTCAGAACAGCACACACACTGCTTGGCACATGTTCCCAGTGTGCCAGAGAGTAGAAAAACAAAGTGTGGTGAGAGGCATGAGAGGCAGTATTAAGTTACCCTGAAGGATATTCTCTTTGCAGATATAAGTCTGCTGGCTCCGTGTGGAAAATGTTCCTAGTGGTGGCATAATGGAGAGAAGCAACATGAAATATCTGTGATAAAACAGGAATAAAAGCAGACAGTTAAGACATGGCTGCTTCTGCTTGAATTTGCTTTTAATTTTGTACATGCTGGCCTCTGCAACAAAGAGCTTTCTCCATAGCCTGTAGTTTGCTATCCTGATGAAACTCCTCCCTGCAGTGATTTGCAGGGCATGTACAGTGCAATTATCCCTCCTTGCCATTCTTGTTTGTGCTAGCTGAGGGTCAAGCTAGCTTTATGTAAAACCAGAGAGGAACACAGGTAAGGCTGGGGTCAGTTCCAGTTCCCAGGGATCCTTCCTTATCCCTGAACTTTTGAGCTCTGCCTTGGAGCCATACTCAGCAGAGTTCCTGCAGTGCTGTGGTGCAGAGTGCTGCTGTAAGAGAGCTTCATGCCATGCCATTGGAGGGAGGAGTGGGTGCACTCCACCTCTGCACAGACACACACGCACAGGGACATCCCACTGCCAAAGGACAGAGGTCTCTGCTGAAACCTGAGGTGGCCTTGGGTCACAGTCTGGACTCTTGCCCTCTCAAATGCTGGTGCTGAGGGAGGTGCATGAGTCCGTGCAGCTGAAAGGACCCAGCTAGATCAACAGCATCCAGAACATGTCCAGAACTATCCCCTATGACCATTTCTAGAGATTTTTCCATTCCAGTGTCTTTTCTAAAATAATTTCTCTGTTAGATTCTCTGATATTCAGTTGGACATTGCTGGTACTGTAAACACTCTCTGGCACTTAAGTCAGGCTGTTAGGGAGAGTCAGCAAAACAGAATGGCTCAATCACAGGGGGCTGATATCCCTCTTGCAACATACTGCTGTTCCACTGAATACACCAGCAAAGAAATTTGTGTGGGTGGGATTTGCATTGCCCTTTTACCTCTGTTTTCTCCTCTGTGGGCTCCACTCCTGATCCACAGCATTCCTGCTGTGGGCATCATCCCTACCCATTGCAGGCCTGCTTGCTTGAATGTGGCTGCTTTATTCTAGCATCATTTGTAGGGGTTCTCACTTGCTCCCCATTCTGCTTGCCTTTAACAGCGCACCACTTTTTCAATTGCTGTTTTTTTTCCCTTTTTTTTTTGTTTTGTTTTTTTTTTTTCCCTCCTCCCAGTACCACATGGCAGGTCACTTGCATTAGAGGAAAACTCCTCTACTTTTATCACTACATGGCATTAAGCCAGTTCAACAAGGCCTTTCTAGATTTGAGCACAGATAGCTGGTTCATCTTTGGTGGAAATAACTGGCACAAACAAATTCTCAAAGGGAGTTTTTAATGAGATTTGAGCTGAAAGGCTCATCTTTGCGTCTATGCACATTTTGTCAGTACATATTGTCACAAAAGCTGTATGGTCACAAAAAGCCATTGATGAGCCTTACACAGCCACTTGATCACTTATTTTACTGTTATCTTCATTCTCAAGAAGTAAAAAAAAAAAAAAAGACACGGCTATTTATAATTATACAAGTACAGGAAGGTACATGCTGAGTGGTTTAAAAACATTCTTTTAAAATCATATATAAATTAAAAGCTTCTTAATTTAAGAATGTATCCTTGGCTGAGGTACTTCATATTGAAAAGTGGTTACTCAGCATATAAAGTACCATAAGTACTTTCCATAAGTATTTTTATGACATAACAAATTTTTTCAATCGTTATTTACCCAATATTTCTGATGGCCATTATAGTTTATCAGATCAATAGTCAATGTTCCTAAAAGTCACTTAATTCAGATTTATGTAATCGACATTATAGAAAAGATCAGTTAATGTATATTTACATCAGATAGCTTAATAACTCTCTTAAAATTGTTAAGACCTTCTACTTGCAGTCTTGTGCATTTCTATGAAGGCTTTTGCTTTATTTAAATCCCTTAAAACTCAAAGAAATTCATGCCACCAAACTTCACTGACAAGTCATCCCTGATGATAAGGACTTTTGACAAGTTCTTGAATAGTGAGGGGGGCAGGGTAAGACACAGATTTACCTCTAAGAATTTGTTAGATTGAAAGTTGTGGTTTTACACACACAATTTTTTGTTTCCCCTTTCAATTTTTTTGTTTTCCCATGATTCCACTGTACTGGAGTGCTGGGTCACAACTGCTGGGTTTTCAGTTGTATGGTTTCATGGGCTGTACTTTGTTCATCAACTGAATTTTAATTAATGACAAGAATGCCCACTGCCCAGCTAGGTATTCTTTGAAGTTTTAAATTAAAATACCTTAGCTATTTGGCTTAATAACAGTTTAGTGCCTTAAAATTACAGACTTCATGTTTATACTACAAGCTCTGTCATGCTACAATTGAATATGCCCATTAGCACGAGTGGAGCAGGATGGTACTTCCAGAAAGATCTTTTTCAGTGTAAGAACTTGATCCTAAAATCTGTAGTCATGGGAAAGCAATTCTATTTGAATTTAGTGGTTTCAGTAGGTGACTAGTGATACTCATGGGGACACTGCAGGGTCAGGTCTTGTTTTGATTGCAATTTAAATGTCAGCTTTTGTCAACAGTTGCAGTAGCAGTATTAAGGACCTGTACTTCTTTATGCTTACAATAAGGATACTTCTAGTCTATCCTACCCTTTGAAATGTTTATTGAAGTCTGAGGCTGCAGGCACCTCAGTGTTTCTTTTAGATGTGCGGCAGTCATGTTTGCTAACATCACACTGTTGAAATTTTGAATGTACAAAAATGAAGTGGAAAAAATCAGGAAAATAAAAAAGCTTTGGTTTGACTTGTAGGGTGTTGGGTTTTTTTTCAGTTTTTGTTTGTTTGTTTGTCTGATTGTAGTTTTTTCCCAATAACAGCCATAATTGCTGCTGTGGATGACTCTATAGCAAAGATGTGCAGGCACACAGCAGGAAGCAGAATGTCACAGAGCCACGGCGGGGTTTTCCATTCAATTCAGGCTGAAGTGAGCCATGCAGAAAGAGGAAGAGCTGGCTTGTCTCAGCCCAGGCCCCATGTCCTCACAGTTCACGTGGCTCTAGGAATGCTTTGGCCGCAAAATGAGTTTGGTCAGCTGACCTGACTGCAGACTGATTAGGAAAAGGGATGTGTACAAATAGGGAAAGAGGTAAAATTGGGGAATGGTTCTGTGGCTGAGACACCCTTCTGGGGACTGCTGAGAAAACTGAAGCAAGCTGTAAATGCACAGACCATGGAAGAGAAAGCCAAGGGAACAGATACTGTTTGATCTGTGGGGGAAGGCATGTGTAAGAGGAAAGACCTTAAATTGCTGTTGATTCAAATTCAGGGATTACTTCAGAAAGGTTAGGAAATGTAATCGATAAAGTGCGCAAGTGCCATATTTTCATGTTTGGATGTTTCTTGAGGCAAGCTGGTGTAAGATACAATTGGAGTTTAGAACCCTTCAAAGGTCATATTTCTGTTTGTTTCTGTTGCCACATGTCCCAGAAGAACAGACTGTTATGGTAGTTTACCCTGGGTAAACACAGTTGTGGAGCCTAAAACTCTCTAAACCCTGTAGTCCAGTCCTGCAGGTGTTACTGATCCGTACTCAGAAGCCCACCAATGAAGTGAGGATGTAAAGAGTAGGGTGAAACAGAGGGATGTCACCAAATCAGATTCAGACTAGACAGCATCTGAGATCCCTTCCTCTGAGTACAGGCAGGGCATACTCCACAGTGGAAATCTCCCCAGGGAAGTGACTGGAGCTTTAAGAGACAAAAAGGTTCAAAAAAAAAAAAAAAAAAAAAAAAAAAAGAGAACAAATTCATGGCTTTGGGAAAGCTGTCTCCACATACTGTTTGACACTGCTTGGATCCCACACTCTATACAGAGCAACTGTTTCCCCCATAGTCATTTATATAATTATAACCTTGCTTCATCCTTTCACCTTCAGAGTGGGAGGTTTTGTAATCCTTGCTAATTTCAGACAGATCTCCCACCGTTTCATGAGGAACATTTTATATAACACAAGTATTGCTGTGTGGCTAATGTCTTTAAAGCCGTGTTTGAATATTTCATGGATTGTAGGTTATTTTCTTTCCTTCAGCAGTTGAAAGTAAACCAAGGATTTGTACTGCTTACACAGTTAAAATTTGGCCATTTCAGGAAGCAGATGTGACAGGGGCTGGACCTAATGGGTACTTTACTGGTGGCTGGGTGGTCAGTGCTTGAATCAGTTAATTATAAAACAGATATCAATTGCAACAAAGATAGTGAGACCTGATAGTCACAAAAATGTATCCTCAGGTTCAAACATGACACGCTCAGCAAAGTCAGGCTACATGTATGTATATATGTTTTTACTTCAAGCTTTAAGTGATGATAGTTTTCCAGATTTATTTCTTCTTTAAAACTAAGCTGTGGTTTCTTGTCTAGTTTTTGACTTCTCCAGCAATTCATTAAATATTTTGTTTATCTTCCCTGCTTGGGCAGCACTTTATCAGTGCTTGAATGAAGATGACATCCAGGAAAACCTTCTTTTTGCTACTAGTTTGCCAGGAGCTGAAACCAGCTTTCTAGGATGATATCAATAAAATTTGTAATTGGAGAGAAGGTACCCAAAAAGGACATTTTTTCACTTTGTAAATAAATAAGAGATGTGAAGAGGTAGGCAGAAAACAGTCAAGTGCACTATGAATCACTGCAGGGGTGCAAGCAAAATTCCTTAATGACAGAGTTCTCACTGACAAATTCTGTCTGTTTTTGCCTCTAGAGCTGTCTGTGCTAATGACAAGCAACTCTGCTTGGAACTTATTTGCATGAAGTATTGTGCAGTGCACACTGTGCATGAGTGGATGAAAGAAAGGAGGCAAGGCTACCCTGGGAC